AGACATTTCGAAAGATCTGATCATGTATATAATGTATGAAAAATAATATCTGAAACAAAAGTCAACAACAACAAAAACAACTAGAAGGAAAGAGAGGACAAAGATATAAAACGGTACAGGACGTGTAAAACAATATTTGCCTGATATTTGGTTTTTAAATAACTGAAGCGTTTAATAAGTTGCTGAAACAATTGACATTACAAATGTCGACAATGGTCATAAATAAAGCAACTATTAAGGAAGTCTACAATTGTATAATTGACCATACCAAAAGATTGATTGAAAAATCTTCAATTGGTTAAAAATTAAGTCAAGTCGCAAATGAACATAGTTCTAAAAGAATTGGAGCCTTCTATTGGCGTCTTCATTAAAATTAGTTTCAATAACACATGACAAAAACTATATCGGCTTTATATGAGCACAACGTAATTCCAAAAACTCACACAAAATACAACCCAAAATGGATTCCATAAATAATTCCACATATACTCTGCCAACATATCTTGGTTGTATACTCAAGATACCTCAATATAACCTTAATAATGTCGTGAAGTAATCATACGAATATAAATCAAAGATCTCGGAATTATCTATTAACAAAAATGAAACAATAGTAAGTTATAATGCTGTATGTGTATACACTAATATTCCAATTGATCGATCTGTAATTGATTTAATAGATATTGAGTATAATTTATCTAGTAGATGTCCACCGAGTACTAATTTATTCGTGAAGTGCATCAAACTGCACATCAGTTCAACACTTTCAATCTTCAAACAGACTTGATATAAATTAACAAATTGAGTATCCATCAGATATGTGCGGTCTCCGATTACTGTTAGTTTATTGGTTTCATATTGACTCGCTTAATTTTGCCAGTACCATCACACAAACCATCTGTATGACCATCCACCTAGATGTATGCAACAATATAATAAGCATCTTATATTCCACTGCTATCCACGGTACAAATACACTCAAACATATAAAACCCAATATTCATCCACTCAGAACATACATGACCAGACAAAGACTGGTCAAAACTTCAGACATGAATCTCAATAACATGATAATACATGCACTTACAGGTAAACCTAACAACTCGTTTCCAATGATGCATTGCAGCCACATTTGTCATATCCATATGATAGACATTCATGCTTAACATATACTAATGACAGACTGAATTCACGTATGACGATTTAATCACAAGTAACCTCGAACTCATTAGCCATCCATTCAGTGGTCCGTCTGTTATTAGCTAACGAAATAATAAGCAACAATAGACTGCAGACATCATTATCAACATCACTATCTACAGAGATGAACAAAAGTTATTTATTCGACACGATCTAATATTGGTGAGGCATGGGAAATGTGATGAGATCTCGGGAACTCCGAAACGGAATAGAATCTACTGTTCTACGTTTGCTGCATTACTGACAACATCGTCTCACGAATCCCTTAGGAACAATATTTCGAAATATAAATTTTGCAACACGTGATATCAGTCAAACAATCCATTGGTTGTAGAACAAAATGTACTTGATAAAATGGAACATTAAGAAACACTTCATGATTAGAGTCGTGTCACCTACAAGTTACCTTCATGACCATACAGGAAACACTGTACGTGCAATCGTCTCGTTGATGAAAATCCATTTAACTCACATAACATAATCATGGTCAAATGAAAATCTTGCACATTTCATTACGTTAAATACATGCAACCGATGTACATTTCTAACAATCTATTGTTTATATATTGTAAATCAAAAGTCGAACAGTGGATGGAATAATGTACTTTATTATCGAGTTCTACGGTAATAAATACAAAGAGAATTTCACAATGTTAAAAATGAATTTATGAATATTGAAATGACTTAAATATGTGCTAAATATGAAGATGACACATAGAACGTAGTTGTATGCAATACTTTTAGCACAATGACTGTTTACTTGTATTCTCCTCTCAATTCTAACAGTACGAATTGAATACAATTGTCTTAAATTCTCACCATTTATGTGTCATTTTCCTGTAGTTCTTCATTTTCTTATCTGAAGTAGTTAGAACGTAGTAAGTTCTTGTGACGACGGACTACAGTGCAAAGTAGTGCATGGAGGACAGCTGACAGATGCATTCCAAGTAAGGACCGGAGTCAGACAAGGCTGTTTACTCTCTCCCTTCCTCTTTCTTCTGGTGGTCAACTGGATTATGATGACCTCAACATCTGAAGGAAAACACGGAATACAATGGACAGCTCAGAATCAATTAGACGATTTGGACTTCGCAGATGACCTATCCCTCCTATCACGTACACACGAACAGATGCAGATGAAGACAGCCAGTGTAGCAGCAGTCTCTGCATCAATAGGCCTCAGCATACACAAAGGGAAAACTAAGGTCCTCAAATTCAAAGCGGTGAACAGCAATCCAATCACACTTGATGGTGAAACTCTGGAAGATGTAGAGTCCTTCACATATCTGGGAAGCATCATCGATGAACAAGGAGGCTCAGATGCAGACGTAAAGGCGAGGATCGGCAAAGCAAGGGTCGCATTCCTACAATTGAAGGACATATGGAACTCAAAACAACTTTCAACCAATATCAAAGTGAGAATCTTCAATACAAACGTCAAGGCAGTTCTACTGTATGGAGCTGAAACTTGGAGAACTACAACAACCACAATCAAGAAAGTACAAGTATTTATAAATAGCTGTCTTCGCAAGATACTCAACATCCATTGGCCGGATACCATCAGCAACAGCCTTCTGTGGGAGAGAACAAACCGACTTCCAGCTGAAGAAGAAATTAGGAAAAGAGGATGGAAATGGATAGGACATACATTACGCAAATCGTCAAACTGCATCACGAGACAAGCCCTAACTTGGAATCCTGAAGGGAAGCGAAAAAGAGGAAGGCAAAGAACACATTGTGTCGGATAATAGAAGCAGATATGAAAACGATGAATTACAACTGGACGGAGCTAGAAAGGATTGCCCAGGACAGGGTTGGATGGAGAATGCTGGTGAGCGACCTATGCTCCTTCACGAGGAGTAACAGGCGTAAGTAAGTAAGTAAGTAAGTAAGTAAGTTCTTGTGAATCACTCTTTGAATATGTGATCTTTATATACCGTTGCTCCAAGTGTCTGTTCTCCACGACGTGATTTATTTCGATGCTATTGAAATTTCACCTATATGTCATAATAGATTATATGAGATTCGATTACCAGTTCTTTTGCTGAAGCTTCACCCGCACTATCATTTGTTAGTCACAGAAATTCGAGACAACGTTAAGGTGTTGATTGTATTTATTTTATAGTGTCAAACAAGACGTCTGAGTTCTAAATGAATATGATATGATTTATGTGATGTATGAAGTAATCATGAGTTTCTAAATGTACTAGTAATAAACTAAACAGACGTAAAATGAAATGGTTACTTTTCTTTTGTAAATTTAATTTTCATTTGCTTATCATTGGATAAGTTGGTTATATGCAACATAGTTATTATTGTCTTTGTCATTTTATTCTTTTATTCTTCTTAACTAATGTAAGTGAAAAGCAAAGAAAAAAGACATTTTTCCAAAGTGAAATGCACCTTATCATCAATAATCCAATAAAAAGGAGATAGTTGAGGAAAAGATCATTGAAATAATAGTAAAAATAAGAATAATTGTTTGAATTAAAACCGTCTAACATTTCATGACTCAGTGTAGGGCACTTCTTCAGGGAATAAAGACCGAATCAAAATTAATTCAAGTTTCAATACTACACAAGTCTATTATGTGCTAACAATCAAAAGCAGGTCTGGACAAATTATTGTCATGCCGTTTCAGTCAAGGTGATTCATAAGAGACATGTATGTAAATTTGTGTGTGTATGTGTGCATGGTTAAGAATGAAAAATGTGTGACCTTTATGGTGAGAAAGGATAGAGTGTAATTTGTATGATTTTAATGTGAATTTTGAATAATATCCGACTAGGTGTCTGGGATAGATGGTTCAAGTAGGATGTATCGTAAGGCTTTCTTTTCTATTGAGAACAGTAGGATTATTCATTATATGGAACACTTCAGGTACTCTCCTTTGTAATTGGAAAGTCCTTTTTGTAAAGTTTTGATTTTTTAAAAATAGATTTGGTGGTTTTTGAAAATGGCGTGAACTTTGGTGATGATACCTATTAACATATCTCGTTTAACTGTTCACCCAACAATTACTTCGCACTTATTATAGTTGTCAGATAATTTAATGAATCTATCAAAGAAATATTCATTTTCAGAAGGGTTTTTGTGTATATTATAGTGATCTCAACGAGTAAAATTACTATAATATCCACAAAAACCCTTCTAATATTAATCAACATATGCTCATTAGTGACTGGCTTCAAGAGGTATTTACTAGAGTTCTAATGAGAAGGAGTGACCAATGGAGTTCAACCGGGTCAGTTGTGAGATAGTAACCCATTGAAGACAATGGTGGATTTGTCGCTCAATTTCGTGGATTGGTTGAAGTTAGACATTAACACCGTTGGATGTCATCCGGCTCAGTGGTCTAGTGGTTAAGCGCTCGCGGGGTCGAATCTCGCGAGACGGGATCGTGGATGCGCACTACTGAGGACTTTCACAATGGGACGAAAAGGCCGTCCAGTGCTTCCAGGTTTTCCATGGTGGTCTAACTTCAAATGACTCATGATCTCAACCATTAAAATATTTATTTACTGGCAGTAAACTTATTAGGAATGTTAATTGACGTAGTAGTATTAGTATTTTTGATAAATTATTTCAACTGTTGTATTTTTCACCAATTTTTGTTATTTATTAGTGAAATTTATTATAATCCATTTGGTAATTTAAAACACGTTATCATGCAATCTTTTTTTGTTTTAGGCAGCTCTTTTATGGGATTGGTCCGTTTGAATCGTATATATACTCTGGAAAACTGAGAGATTTTCATTTTATAAATTTCTATATACAGTAAACGAAACAACTTTCCATATATGTTCCCGTACGATAAACTTGATGAATACTTTTTCTACGATACACCTACGGATTTACTCGCCACATGTGGGCAACTAAATGTGAATTCCAGTCAAGTCTATAAAGTACAATGTATTGTTACGAAAGTTCTTGGGATATGGTCGGCATATTTGTTACCAATTATATGTGGACTTGGTTTAATTACACACTGTCTTGTTATCACAATTATATTTAAATGTTTAAAATGTACACCGCGCCAGTTAATCTATACTGGTTGTTTAAGTTGTTCCAATATATTGACGAATATTTTATTTGCTTGGTTATGGTTATTTCCCGCTAAAGGTTTACCATATATAACCAACGGACAAATTTATTACTTCATATTTAATACATCAAGAATTGCTTGTCGCCTATGTCGTTTCACTTATTCACTGAGTACAACATTAACTAGTAATTTAATATTATGTTCAGCGATTGATCGTTGTTTGAGTATATATTTCCCAGTGAAATTATTACATTTATCGAATCGTCATGCATGGTATATATGCTTAATTGTTTTAATCATCAGTAGTATTATGATGTCACCATTTTTAATTGTAATTGATTGGATACAAGTTGGACAATTTCATATTTGTTGGATAGAGGAATCGTTATTTCATTTACAAATTTATCATACATTATTCGCTAATTTAGGCTTAGTACAAAGCATTTTAATTGTTATAGTAAATATTGCTTTTATCACACGTCTTATCATACAGACTAGACGAACACGTCATACTATGGCACATAACAAGAAAGAATTAAAACATATCTCTATTTCTATTATTCTCTTAGCATTTTCAATGTCATATGTATTGACTGCACTACCTCAAACTACAGTTTATTTATTAGCGTTTCTATGGTCATATACAAATGAGGTGATTGATGAAGTATATGAAGTATGGATAAGACTTATGTATAATTTAGCCGATATTGGTTGGAATCTTCATTTTACACGAGAATTAATTGATTTAATTATGTATTTTATATATTTGAAACCATTACGTCGAATATTATTGTATAAGATTAGAAAAATCATCAATATAGCTCATTCATCGAATCCGAACACGTCAGATCATGCATCATTAAAATAATATACATAAAGGGAAATCACTGATTAAAACAGAACAATGTATAATGCGTTGGTAAAAGTTAGACGGTTTTAATTCAAACGATTATTCTTATTTTTACTATTATTTCAATGATCTTTTCCTCAACTATCTCCTTTTTATTGGATTATTGATGATAAGGTGCATTTCACTTTGGAAAAATGTCTTTTTTCTTTGCTTTTCACTTACATTAGTTAAGAAGAATAAAAGAATAAAATGACAAAGACAATAATAACTATGTTGCATATAACCAACTTATCCAATGATAAGCAAATGAAAATTAAATTTACAAAAGAAAAGTAACCGTTTCATTTTACGTCTGTTTAGTTTATTACTAGTACATTTAGAAACTCATGATTACTTCATACATCACATAAATCATATCATATTCATTTAGAACTCAGACGTCTTGTTTGACACTATAAAATAAATACAATCAACACCTTATCGTTGTCTCGAATTTCTGTGGCTAACAAATGATAGTGCGGGCGAAGCTTCAGCAAAAGAACTGGTATTCGAATCTCATATAATCTATTATGACATATAGGTGAAATTTCAATGGCATCGAAATAAATCATGTCGTGGAGAACAGACACTTGGAGCAACGGTATATAAAGATCACATATTCAAAGAGTGATTCACAAGAACATACTACGTTCTAACTACTTCGGGTAAGAAAATGAAGAACTACAGGAACATGACACATAAAGGGTGAGAATTTAAGACCATTGTATTCAATTCGTACAGTTAGAATTGAGAGGAGAATACAAAGAAACAGTCATTGTGCTAAAAGTATTGCATACAACTACGTTCTATGTGTCATCTTCATATTTAGCACATATTTAAGTCATTTCAATATTCATAAATTCATTTTTAACATTGTGAAATTCTCTTTGTATTTATAACTGTAGAACTCGATAATAAAGTACATTATTCCATCCACTGTTCGACTTTTGATTTACAATATATAAACAATAGATTGTTAGAAATGTACATCGGTTGCATGTATTTAACGTAACGAAATGTGCAAGATTTTCATTTGACCATGATTATGTTATGTGAGTTAAATGGATTTTCATCAACGAGACGATTGCACGTACAGTGTTTCCTGTATGGTCATGAAGGTAACTTGTAGGTGACACGACTCTAATCATGAAGTGTTTCTTAATGTTCCATTTTATCAAGTACATTTCGTTCTACAACCAATCAGTGAGACTCAAACAACAAGTGATGATTTCGAGTATGTTTAGAGATTCTCAATTATCAGTATCAGTCACATCTAATTTGAAAGCAAGGAAAAACGTCAAACAGTTGTCTCATCGTAGTCTGAGACTCATCAATAGGGCTTCCCAACGACTCTGAATTCAATCGAACCAAGAATGTTCCAGTGATTAGATGTACATTTTCAAATGTGACAATGTCACGGTACAATATGTTGATGCTTCATCGTTACCACTCACCATGTCTTATTAAAGCCTTGTAAATCCAAATGAAATTCGGTCCATTGATCACAACATTCGATCGATTGTTTGACTGATATCAGGTGTTGCAAAATTTATATTTCGAAATGGTGTCCTTAAGGGAATCGTGAGACGATATTGTCAGTAATGCAGCAAACGTAGAACAGTAGATTCTATTCCGTTTCGGAGTTCCCGAGATCTCATCACATTTCCCATGCTTCACCAATATTAGATCGTGTCGAATAAATAACTTTTGTTCATCTATGTAGATAGTGATGTTGATAATGATGTCTGCAGTCTATTGTTGCTTATTATTTCGTTAGCTAATAACAGACGGACCACTGAATGGATGGCTAATGAGTTCGAGGTTACTTGTGATTAAATCGTCATACGTGAATTCAGTCTGTCATTAGTATATGTTGAGCATGAATGTCTATCATATGGATATGACAAATGTGGCTGCAATGCATCATTGGAAACGAGTTGTTAGGTTTACCTGTAAGTGCATGTATTATCATGTTATTGAGATTCATGTCTGAAGTTTTGACCAGTCCTTGTCTGGTCATGTATGCTCTGAGTGGATGAATATTGGGTTTTATATGTTTGAGTGTATTTGTACCGTGGATAGCAGTGGAATATAAGATGCTTATTATATTGTTGCATACATCTAGGTGGATGGTCATACAGATGGTTTGTGTGATGGTACTGGCAAAATTAAGCGAGTCAATATGAAACCAATAAACTAACAGTAATCGGAGACCGCACATATCTGATGGATACTCAATTTGTTAATTTATATCAAGTCTGTTTGAAGATTGAAAGTGTTGAACTGATGTGCAGTTTGATGCACTTCACGAATAAATTAGTACTCGGTGGACATCTACTAGATAAATTATACTCAATCTCTATTAAACCAATTACAGATCGATCAATTGGAATATTAGTGTATACACATACAGCATTATAACTTACTATTGTTCCATTTTTGTTAATAGATAATTCCGAGATCTTTGATTTATATTCGTAGGATTACTTCACGACATTATTAAGGTTATATTGAGGTATCCTTAGTATACCACCAAGATATGTTGGCAGAGTATATGTGGAATTATTTATGGAATCCATTTTGGGTTGTATTTTGTGTGAGTTTTTGGAATTACGTTGTGCTCATATAAAGCCGATATAGTTTTTGTCATGTGTTATTGAAACTAATTTTAATGAAGACGCCAATAGAAGGCTCCAATTGTTTTAGAACTATGTTCATTTGCGACTTGACTTAATTTTTAACCAATTGAAGATTTTTCAATCAATCTTTTGGTATGGTCAATTATACAATTGTAGACTTCCTTAATAGTTGCTTTATTTATGACCATTGTCGACATTTGTAATGTCAATTGTTTCAGCCACTTAGTAAACGCCTCAAGTTTTTTATGAAACCGTCGTATGGTTTTGTTTATTGTTTACGTAATAGTTAAAATGACAAAGCATCTTAATTGACTATATATGAGCGATAATGTATTCTGACATAATACTTTGTCATAACTCTTTATTAAATTGCTGATGAACGATTTCTGGAATCTCACAAATAAAGCTATGCTTCCTGTTAGAAAAAATCATGTTTCGTTGAGAAAATTATATGGACTTAGTTACTTAGACAAGACAGTAATTCTTACGCTGTAACTGGAAACATATAGCGTATTTATCATATTACCTACCGGCCGTGGTGGACGGTTATTTTTCAGTTCCGTATTAGGGTTGTTTCACTCTTATCTGATTAGGCCGATGGACTTTTCTGGAAATGAGTTCCACTTCGAAGGAGTCACAAACCAACCGCGTGGATGTGATTTTGTGCGGAAATCATCACCCTCATGTTTTGGAGCGCAGGCGTCGCACCAAGGGCAAGTATAGTTTTCATTCATGAGTCACTTAGCATACACATAGGTATATAAATCCACCTATGAAGGCAGATCCCCGACTGACTGTCACGTATTAACTGCACATCACTGGTACAAAGAATTTCGTCCCTGTACTTCATGACATATACATAGGCATAAGGCCTATTACACAGAGGTTTGATGGCCACCTCTTCGCAGTACTTACTACCATATGTTTTTACTATCTCTTCCACCTGAGGGATTAGGTGGTTTATCTTATGAGAAATAAGACAGACACTTTTCAGTTAACGTTTATCGAGTCCACCCACGTGTGTGTCCTTTGTATATACCTATATACATTATTCACACAAACTGAAACTCATGCAATTCATATACATAAGCAAACACATGGGGAAGCCCACGAGATTGTTAGCCCCAAGAGTGGAACCCCATGGCTCCGGTTTACAGCAGAGCGGTGGATTAGTCCGATCTCTGCCGACCTCCCAAGTTATGTAGCAAGGTTCGCTCTACTATCCAGCAGCGCCATGGGGAGGCGAACGGTAAATGATTTTATTCTTATTTTATCCCAGAAAGAATACATATTGTTTATGAAACTGCCCGTGGGTTTCATATTTCTTGTACAAAACGTTTAACAATTTATAGTTGAAATGTTTTAATGGAAAATTATCAGGCAATTATATATATGTATGGAAAGTGTGAGAGTCAATACGCACAAATTGAAAAGGAATGTTACCATAAACACGGTTTTCTTATATATGTATATATAAAGGCAGAATACAATAAATCGCTACACACCAAGTGTACTCATAAACACAGTTGCAAAACAACATCGAATGGGCAGAAGAACATTAATTTGTTGTTACTGTAATAAGTAGTATTAGAATAGAGTATTTTCAAAATAAACAATGCATAATAGTAAATAAGAGTAGAGTAACGAAACAGAAAAGAGTAGAAAAGCAATGGAACACTGACCAAAACAAAAGAGTTTAGTAAGTGAAAACTAAACGCAAGGAGCAAAAATAACAATCATACCAATTACACACTTGGAAGTGAAACTGAACGTGAAAGACGTACCAGATAGAATGCATATTTCTTAGGAAAACGCCCGTGGGTTTCATACTTCTCTTACAAAAAGCGTCCAACAAGTATCTATATTACATAATATATGCAACGGTACAAATATGTTTTTTGTAAAGATATGAACACAAAGAAGGAAGCGCCAGGAAAGTTAGAAATTCTAAAACAAAATCTCGTGTAAATGACTAAGTGCTTGCACACACATAGTGACACAGAACCAAATTATGTAAATAAAGAGAATCTGAGAGGACAAAGTAGTCGAAAGCATAAATATTACCTGGCTACAAAGAAAACGTAAGCAAGGCATAGAATGTAGTTAGTTCGAAATTCACTATTCTGTATTTGTAGTATAATTCGAATCTATGTAGGATTTTATTAAATTTGATAATACAATTGAATGTCGTCTAATCGATAACTGGAAACCTTTTGACACTGGTGGTAGTGAAAATCCTGGTAAAAGAAGTTTCTTTTCTTCAGTTGAAGATGAACATGACGACTGATCGATTGCTTTGATACGTTCATATTCTACAGAATCCAGTGAGGCCCAATTTTCTAATAAAGATAGATATCTATGAAAAAAGTCAATAAATAGGCATAGTAAGCAATTCAATGTTTTAAAATATGAACACTCTTTTTGATGATAA